ATATAGCTAGCCTATACTGTGCATTGTTTTTCGGCACTACCTTGTTCTCTATAGCTGATGTAAGGTGAATTACTCCTGTGTGGGATCAATAAAGTTCTTATCTTAGCCATCTGAGAAGATCAAATACATTGTTTTTGGTGCCTAACTGTTTCCTAAGTATATTAGTGTGTGTGTGAATGAATAAACGAGAGACATTAACGTAAATTTTTTTGTAGAAGGGCGCTTTATGAAATTAAGTCCATTCACTTGTATTAGTTTACAGCGCAGCCTTGCCACATCCAATATGGCGGCGACGTTGACGTATCGCAGCAGCGGGCAAACCCACTTGATGCGGTGTCTACGTATATGTCTATGGATAGTACGCCCGAGTCTGTGAGCACCTGTGTCTGCCTCTTCAGCAAGCGCACAGCGAGCAGGAGAGAGAGGGGGGTGGGGTGGGGCGGGACTAATCTAGGGGGTGCGAGTGCACATGCGCCGAGGCCTCTACTGTGGCCTGGGGAGTCGATAATGGCGGACAGTTTAGTCTCAAAGAAATCAAAGAATGCGCCACTATTGCAACACTTTGGCTTTGAGCCAGACAAAGAGAGGCAACCCTTGTTTGCACTGATTGAGTATGCTGCAAAATGTATTTGTAAGGAATAAAAGAAAGAACGCATTACTGTCACTCTGTTGTCCTATGGTTGTTTTTTATTTTAAATGAGTCAATTGCGTCCCCAAGTGGCGAAAATCCGGTATTACCGACTTGATGCGTTTTTTTTTTCCTTATGCCGACCCAACCCTATTCAAGAGTAACCTTCCCAACACTGATCACTTGCACCCATACACACACGCATGCACAGACCAGCTACCACACAAGCACACACCTGTTCTCCATTTAATATTCAATGAGTTTTTATAATCCTGTCCCACCTAGATTTCCTGTCCTATGGGTTCTTCTTTACATACTGTAGATTTCATTAATTTTTTTCATTCCATTTAATCAACTGTGGTGCTGCTGGTTTTAGCCAATTTCTACTTATCTGTTTAAGTGCTGTTATTGTTAATATTCTGTAGAGATATTTGTCTGCTGTGAGAGACAGTGTCTGAGGGGTTTTACCTTAGAGTATATGTCCTGGACCCAGGGAAAGATTGCACTGAAAGAAATTATCCATTTCCTGCCTTGTTTTGGACCAGAATTCTTTTAGAACTGGGCATGAATACAATATATGGGTGTGATTAAGTAGCTAAAGTAATTTCTTTACATTATTTTGAGTGAATAAGTGTTTCAAAAAATCTTAATTGAAGTTTCCAGGAAAACTCCCTCCAATGTAAGGAGTTAGGGATGCATAACATTGGCACATCATCAGTATCGGCTAATATCGGCTTTAAAATTAACTATCCAAATCATCCAACATGCTTTTTCTTATTTTGCACAATGAATTGCATACACTGAAAAGTATTGTATTTCATGTCTCCATCAGCTGGTGGGCCATCACGCTTAGAGAGTATGCATGCATAATATTATGCTAATTCCACTACAGAAGAGACTTGATGATCATTAAAATTAGGTGGGGAAAAAAGTGGTCATATCGATATCAATTATCGGTCAAATGAGTTGTTATATATTGGTATACAGGATATTGACAAAAAATCCAATTTCGTGCATACAGTATAGAGTTTGTCATTTTCCAGGTGTTACTACACTTATGTGTCCAGTCTTATTCTGAAATATTGTTTTTTTGTGCTCTCAGATAACAGAGACTGTAAAGGGATTTATAGGCCTACAGATTTTTCACATCAAGTGCGAGAAGTCTGATGGGAACATAATTAAGTTTTATACCACTCGGTTATATGTAGTAAAAGACACAACCATGACTAAAACAAAATAGGAGAAATATCATAATGTGGATAAAAGTTAGGCAGTATTTTAAGTTAAATGCTCTCCACATAGTTTTTCTAAAAGATGAAGTTGTTTTTTGGTGCTCTGTATATGCCGAAATAAAGAAATGTTTGTATAGGGAGGTAAACAAACATTTACAAAGAGTGTTAACATTGACATGATGAAAACCATGGTCAATATGCACTTGTGAATGAAAGGCCTATACTACGAAGCCAGTCCAACTTACCCAGGATATGTTCTCGTCATCTGGTTTGACTATCCCTAACATTGGGCGTCTGGATAACCAGTACAAAGCTGGTTATCTACCAGTTCAGTCAACTCTTGCGTTTTCCTAACCAGCCACGAGCGCGTTCGTGTGAAAGAGGCGAAATGTTGCATTTATAATAACGGGAGCTGATTAACGTTAGCAGTGTGTGGATTATTTAACTGATAAAATATTATCTGTTTCATCCTAGTTCTCATCACGTAGGTGTCTTATTATTTTGAGCTGATACTCTGAACATAACCTGCTCCGGAGCAGGTTGACATTAGCGGTTCAGCATAAGTTGTCACAGTGATTTATCCCGGTAAAAAAGAGAACCAGCTTCTTGGTACTGAAAACCCTGAGTTAACCCCAAAATTACCTCGCTCGCTAACTTCAAATTCTGCTTCGTAGTACAAGCCTTTGGTGTGTGACTGATGACAGACACTAAAGTTAAATAGTGCTGTCTAACACCTCCTGGACGCTTTGAACTGTGTATAAGGAGTAATAGTGTCGCATCGACTTTTTCAACGTTACATGACCGCATGTAAGTCACATAGTGCACACTGAGAACCAGTTACATTCAACATTGTAACATACATTGTTGCCTGTCGCCGGTAACACTTTGTGTCTTTGTCTCAATGAGTTGAAATTCTACTCACGGTTGATCGAAGAACTTGCTATCTGAGCGATGAATGATTAGTGTTTCGCTTTCCTTTCTGCAGCTTCGAAACCATCCATGCAGGTTATGGCGCCACTGATACTGTCAGACTTCCGGCCTAAACTTTCACAATAAAATGATTGCAATCGAGAATACATGTAATGTTACAAGAGTAATTATGTAATAATGTTCCTATATATACAGTGGTCGAATTGAGGGGGAATAAGGGGGGAATGCCACCCCCTTTGTTAGAAAATTGACCAAAAACCATCCCCCCTATCAACTTTGACCAAAAACCATCCCCCTTGTTAATCTAGAATCTGTGTGCAGGCACGGACGTAATTTGGGGGGTGGGGGGCGACGACAACGACACAGGGGACATGTCCCCCGCGCTTCCCGTATCTGTGCCCTCCATCCCCCGTACTTTTTACAGCCGTTACAACCGTTCAATTCGTTTTTAACATGTGGTAACGTGTTTTTTCGAGCCGTCTTTAAATGCACCGTAAGTAGACTGCGCCAGTGCCGTAGCTCTGGACTGCGCTAGGCGGCTACACATGGGCTGCATCCCAAGTCCCTTAAAATTACTGCTAACCACCTTATCTAGCCACCGTATCTAACTGTTTAGTCCCTCCCACTTAGGAAAACATGCAAGGAGTCAAGAGTGAGGAGTGAGGAGCGAGGATTGCTTTTTAAGAGACATGAGACGGCCTTACTCTGAAGCGTCACGTAAAGCGACGTCATATTCTGGTGACGGCGCGACAGCTGGATCTGCTGCGGAGCCAGCGTTTGGGTACATCCCAAGTCCCATTATATTAGCTGATCAAAGCCGTAACACCCCCCACCCCACCCCCGACGCCATGACTTTGGTCACACACTTTTGCATGAATTACCATTGTTATTGAGTCATTTGCCGAAGTTTGTCGCAATTAAAGAACGGTCTGTAGGCCTGCCACTGTCACTGTGACCAGCATCATTATTATTATTATCATCATTATTATCACTATTATTAAATTCACTCGCCATCATTCAACAAGTCAGCTGCTGAGTGAATAAGACATATCAGACCTGTCAGTCTACGTCAGTCAATTGAATTTTATTTATAAAGCCCAATATCACAAATCTCAATTTGCCTCACAGGGCTTTACAGCATCCCTCTGTCCTTAGGACCCTCACAGCTGATCAGGAAAAACTCCCCAAAAACCCCTTTAACGGGGAAAAAAACGGTAGAAACCTCAGGAAGAGCAACTGAGGAGGGATCCCTCTTCCAGGACGGACAGACATGCAATAGATGTCGTACAGAACAGATCAACACGATAAATTAATAGTAATCCGTATACAAAATGATACATGAAGAGAGACAGAGACAGAGAGAGATGCAGGATAGACAGTAATGGCAGTAGCTTACAACATTAATTAAAGTAATAATATTAATATTAATAATTAATATTACCTACAAGCTATTAAACTTTATTCCACTCACATGACATGCAGGACAATTAATGATGGGCAAATGTATGTGTGTGTGTGTGTGTGTGTGTGTGTTTGTGTGCGTGCGTGGTGTTATATCAACACGTGTGGTTCAGGACATGAGCAGCTGCACATTTAACAGCCACACATCACCGACAGTCCACTGAACAACGCAACGGATTGTGAATGAAATAAACTTAATTACAACATGACAGTCTTGCATGACATATCATTAACATTACTCTTTGTAGTCACGTAGGCATGTGAATTACAGCGTTTCATTGCAAAGAATGCATGTAACGGGTACACTTGCGCTGTTTCTCTGCCATCTCGTTCAAATGAGCCAGATGTAGGGGGCGGGTATTTATACGTCAGGGCCTCAAGCTGAAAAAGACTTCCTGTTAGGAACCTCTCATGTTACCTTACTCATTGCACCTAACAGATCCCTCCTAACTCCTAACGCTAACTCCTTACTGGCAGGAATAAGAGACATGAGACGGCCTTAGAGATGGCAGACCTCGAACGACTTCCGGTTCAAGTCAGGAGTTAGGAGTTAGCAGTATAAAATAAGAGACTTGGGATGCAGCCATGCTGTCTGTTGTTATCTGAATCAATTGCACAGCCACAGATGAGATGTGTGCTGCCGGGCAGTGCTGCTGTGTTTACTATGTTCAGCAAACCAGCCAGCAAGAAGCAAAAAACTTTGCAGTTTCTTCCAAACAAACCGTGTAAGTTGAGTAATGCTGTTGCATGGAGATAATGTTCGCTAAAATGATGACTAATTAATAGATGCCAATATATCAAGTTAAGCTAACGTTACTTAACAAGAATACTGATGTTATTGTTACCTCTGTTAAATCGCTTCCTAGCTAGTTTCATGCTAGGAATAAACCCACTCCTCCTTAATTTCTGCACAGAACTTGTGCTCACTATTGCTTTGCGCATATTTTTTTAATCTTTTTTGCCACAATAGAAAGAGCAAGGTCAGGGAGGAGACAGTGGACCAGAGACCAGCAAGGATGATCATGCAGGGTCCGACATTAAAGGACAACTTCGGTATTTTTCAACCTGGGCCCTATTTCCTCATGTGTATGTGTGCGTATGATTCATGGGTACCACTCGTTCTAAAATTGGTTCAGTATTGAGCCGCGAAACGAGCTAAAACGGTAATGGGGGCAAATGCGTCCCGTATAAAAGTGCTTTTTTTCGCCACTGACCGGTTCAGATCGCCAGTGCTATCTCTGTAGATAGCATATTGTAGCGGTCCTGGGGCAGTGGTGAGTGTAAATGAGTGGAGTCAGCTGTCAGTCAGTGTTGGAGCAGAGAGTGAGAGGGCGTCCCCACTCAGTACTGTAAGTGAGTATGTGTGTGTGAAGTGTGTGTTTTTTCGCCACTGACCGGTTCAGATCGCCAGTACTATCTCTGTAAATAGCATAATACCCTTTCCCTTACCTCTGGGCTATGTGATGTCACAAGCTTTGCTCCACTGTGTCTGTAGCTCTCTCTACTCGTGGGGCCGCCGTTTTCTTGAGGAAGAGGTGTTTCGGAATTGGATGTCTTCTCTTCTTCGGCTGGCAGTAGTCATCTTGGGAGAAGTGAGCACTGCAGACCCGATGGTCTGCAAGGCGCAGTGTCTGGAGAGGAGTGTTAGCATCCATTTGTAGCACAACTAGCCACAACTTCAGCATCTCGCCATCCAACAAAGGCAGCTGATGAAAGCTGTACGGGGTGTTGCGCGACATCCTGTTCTTGCGTTCGGGATAAAGGCCCGTTTATTTGAGCACTCCAAAAACTTTGGTAACACTCCAGGGGGTAGCACGTAAAAGACTCCGTCCTCTGACTCTTCTAGCATAACACACACTTCACACACACATACTCATTTATTGTACCAAGCGTGGACGCCCTCTTACTCTCTGCTCCAACACTGACTGACAGCTGACTCCACTCATTTACACTCACCACTGCCCCAGGACCGCTACAATATGCTATCTACAGAGATAGCACTGGCGATCTGAACCGGTCAGTGGCGAAAAAAAGCACTTTTATACGGGACGCATTTGCCCCCATTACCGTTTTAGCTCGTTTCGCGGCTCAATACTGAACCAATTTTAGAACAAGTGGTACCCATGAATCATACGCACACATACACATGGGGAAATAGAGCCCAGGTTGAAAAATACCGAAGTTGTCCTTTAAGGTTTTTTCCTACTTGCCCTGCCGGGCAAGTACTTCTCAAATCTACTTGCCCAATCTAAATTCTTACTTGCCCTGCCTAAGAGGTTCTTTTTCTGGCTGTGTGGTGCATATTTTCGCTCATTACTTATATCTTACATCAGCAGAGACGCTCAGCCAATGGAGGCAGCAGCACACTGCAACTGGCCCCTCCGAGGACAGAAACAGGAGAGGAAATACACGATTACAGGCCTGGAATTAAGATATTTTTAGGGCAAGACCACTTTGGCCTTTGATAAATACAAATTTATTGGGGCATCACGGCCAAAATGTGGGGCACCAAGGCAAAAACCATCTTCTTCTTCATTCATCTTCTAACCGCTTCATCCTCTTGAGGGTCGCAGGGGGGCTGGAGCCTATCCCAGCTGACATCGGGCGAGAGGCAGGGTACACCCTGGACAGGTCGCCAGACTATCGCAGGGCTGACACATAGAGACAAACAACCATTCACGCTCACATTCACACCTACGGACAATTTGGAGTTATCAATTAACCTAGTCCCCAATCTGCATGTCTTTGGACTGTGGGAGGAAGCCTCCGCGTGGCCGGAAAGAACCCACACTGACACGGGGAGAACATGCAAACTCCGCACAGAAGGGATCCCACACCCTGGATCGAACCGGCAACCCTCTTGCTAACCCTCTTGCGACAGTGCTAACCACCACACCACCATGCCGCCCAGGCCAAAACCAATGGCGCAATAACAATATGTGCTAAGTACAGTGAATGAAGACAAAACAATATATGTGCTGAAAAACAGTACTGAGTTTATTAAAACTGGGTGTGCATAACTGGGGATATATCTCGTTTCTTGTTGTTTTGATTCATGTCCCTTATTTATTAAGTCTTTGAAATCTCTTTATTCTTTTGTTAGCTCCTAGTTATTAAGAAATTATTAGAAGAAGAAGATTCTTTATTGTCCTTTCTCAGCACATTACATACATTTGACCTCTGCATTTGACCCATCCTACTGTATACACTGGGAGCAGTGGGCAGCCGCAGTGCAGCGTCCGGGGACCAACTCCAGTTCTTTTGCCAATGCCAGTGGTCAGGGTCACTGATAGGAGTATTCACCTAACATAGCCTACATATCTTTAATTATATAATTATTTATATGTCTCTATGTATATTTTTACATAAATCCCCAATATTTAATTTGCCTTTAAAAAATCCTCTTCCTTCATTTAATTTGACAATGTTTATTGTATTGTATTATATGTATTAATTCTCTGCAGGATCTTGTATGTTCTTTAATGTGTGTTCAATTTATCAAAAGAAAAAAACAAAAAAACGTTTTAATCAACCCTGCAGCAAAGTGAACCCTCTTCCTCAGATCTTTGCCTCCCAGTTTGTTCCTGGCGGCAGAGCAGAGTGATCCGTCTTTCTTCTCAGAGGATCTTTGTCCCATGAGA